AATAAAATGCTTATTAGGATTCTTACTGCCGGTGAGTTGTGTTCCTCCTTGCCTCTGGGCTGTTATAAACAAGGCAGACACTGAGCACACGTCAGTGGAGCAGTAGGCAGAATCAAAATTTTCGTTTTCAGATTGGCCGCAAAGCCTGAAATTTGCTTGTGATTCTCATCAAAGAAGTATTTCTTTTTTTTGTTTGTTTGTTTAATTTTTTATTTTTTTTAAATTAAAAAAATTTTTTTAACACTTGATTTATTTTTGAGACAGGGAGAGACAGAGCATGAACAGGGGAGGGTCAGAGAGAGGGAGACACAGAATCTGAAACAGGCTCCAGGGTCTGAGCTGGCAGCACAGAGCCCGACGCGGGGCTCGAACTCACGGACCGTGAAATCATGACCTGAGCCGAAGTCAGCCGCTTAACCGACTGAGCCACCCAGGCGCCCCTCAAAGAGGTATTTCTGAACCAGAGAGTGTTCGTTATGTCACCGGGAGATCTCCTGATGTGCTACAGTGAATGGTAGGCTGTTCGTGTTCTCTGTTCACTTTGACAACAATAGGCAAGGTGAGGGAGGAAGGTCCTTCAGGAGAGACACCCTCTCCACATGCCTTCCGGTACATGGCTCCCCCCGAGGGGGACTCCCCCAGGCTCCTTCACTGCTGCTGGTGAGCATCAGTCTCTGTGGTGAAGATTGACCCTGACCTGCCCCGTCTAAATAAGACTGCTCCCTGATAAAGGGACCGTGAAAGCTGATAAAGGGACACTGATAAAGGGACATTTCTCTGAAATGTCATATTTTCTTTGAGTAACTGTAGTTTGTTTTATGACTCACTTTTTTAAAAAAAATTTTTTAACGTTTATTTTTGAGAGACAGAGAGTGAGCAGGGGAGGGGCAGAATGAGGAGGAGACACAGAATCCGAAGCAGGCTCCAGGCTCTGAGCTGTCAGCACAGAGCCCCACGTGGGGCTTGAACCCACGAACTGCGAGATCATGACGTGAGCCGAAGTCAGACGCTTGACCAATTAGGACTCACTTTTATACTCCAGTATCTTAAAGAAAATAAGACATCATAATATTCTGCCCCTGCTAAAACTTTGGTTTCCGTCTCTAAATACATTTTTTTCTATTTTCTTTACCCAACGAAAATTAACGATCTCTTATCATCTAATACCCAGTCCATATGCAAAATTCCTGGGTATTCCGAATGTTTTTACATTTGATTTGTCTAAGCCAGGATCCAATTCAAGATCATGGGTTACATAAATCTCTTTAGTTTGAAGGAGAGTCCCTTTTTTTAATGCATGTCAGATTTTCTAATTTGTCATTTTTCAATCCTAATTTTTAAAAGGGTAAATAGTGTTGATATCTCTTCTGAATGAAGCCCCTGTCAGTGGCTGAGGCCAGGAGAGGCTGCTTCCAGGTTATTTTGTAGGGGTGCTCTTTTGCCTTTAGTGTGAGCGTGCGTTGTCAGGCCCCGTGGTCTCCTTAGAGGGGCACACTGCCGGGCAGCTCTCTAATGTTCATGGACATGAGCCTTTGGGCCAAGGGGGTAAGCCCTTTGCTGACTGGTGACTAAGTGAGTTTGAAGTCTGCTCTCTGGAAGCTCCTGTCGTCTAGGTCACCACTTTAGGAGTGGTGTAGAATCATTAACACAAGGTCTTCAAAAGGACTGCAACCCTAATTCTAGGTTATAATAATGTGGGTAAATTTTTAAAAGTCTTTCCACTGCATTTTTTTTTTTTTTTTGAGAGAGAGAGAAAGTGCACACACTTGTGATCTAGAGAGTGGTAGAGGGAGAGAGAGATTTTTTTTTAATCTTTCTAAGTTTATTTTGAGAGAGAGAGTGCACACATCAGTGGGGAAGGAGCAGAGAGAGAGGGAGAGAGAGAGAATCCCAAGCACTGTCAGCACAAGCCCTATGTGGGGCTTGAACTCTTGAACCGTGAGATCATGACCTGAGCCAAGAGCATCAAGAGTTGGATGCTCAACTAACTGAGCCATCCATGTGCCCTTCCACTGCAATTTTTAATTTATACCTCCTTCCAGGGAAAATAGTCACATTTCTTTTTTTTTTTTTTCAACATTTATTTATTTTTTGGGACAGAGAGAGACAGAGCATGAACGGGGGAGGGGCAGAGAGAGAGGGAGACACAGAATCGGTAACAGGCTCCAGGCTCTGAGCCATCAGCCCAGAGCCCGACGCGGGGCTCGAACTCACGGACCGCGAGATCGTGACCTGGCTGAAGTCAGACGCTCAACCGACTGCGCCACCCAGGCGCCCCCACATTTCTTTAAAAAAGACAAAGCTCCACAAGTTTTGTTTATGAGTGTGTGTTTAAAGTATAAATGGAAGCAGTTTGGGATGGGCTTTGTGCAATTCAAGAAACATTCCGTCTCTTCCGTGTGCAAGGCCCTGTACAAGCCCTTGGGTAATGCAAAGGTGAAGGACTACCTGGTTCCTGCCCTCAAGGAGTCTGTCTCCCAGGCTGAAAGTCACATTTATAGACACCTGTTGCACAAGACAGAGTGCTCAATACTCTGGAAGAATTAGTATAACAAAAGAAGCGAGGGCCGCCTGGCTGGCTCTGTTGGTAGAGCATGCGACCCTTTGATCTCAGGGTTGTGAGTTCAAGCCCCACGTTGGGCATAGAGCCTATTTAAGAGAAATAAGAATCAACTCTCCCGTATGGAATTGGAGAGAATTTTCAGGAAGGTATAGATTTGAGCTAGACCTGGAGATGAGTGGTAGATACAGGCTCTGTGAGAACTGGGACCTTGTCCCCCTTTTTTTTTTTTTTTAAATCTACCCCCACACATGGGGCTCAAACTCCTGACCCCAAGATCAAGAGTCCTATGCTCCACCAGCCAAGCCAGCCAGGCGCCCCCTTGTCTGTCTTATTTATAACGTCAGCACTTGAAACTGCCTGGCTCACGATAGACACTTAATGAAATAAGGACATTTGAGGTTAAAGGAATGTTGTGAGCAAATGAGCAGAATTTCACGTGTTCCTGAAAGAGCAGGTGTTCTGCTGTGGCTAGACCTTTGCACTGAGGGATAGAAGAGAGAGGAAAAGAAAATAAAAGTTGGGCCAGATAGGAATCTTGTATGTTCTGCTGAGGAGCGTGGTCTTGATTCTGTTGGAAAACGGAAAACTCATTGAAGAGTTTTTGAGCGGGGAAGTGACATTAGTGCTTAGGAAGATAATTCTGGTGTGTGTGGATAGCACGCATTAGGGGAGACAGGAAGGCTCTAAGGGAGGTACGATGGCAAGGACAGAGGGTGGCTTGAGAATAATGTCAGGACAACTTCAACATGAACAGTCTGGGCATGAAGAAAAAGGAGCAATCGGGTGACCTCGAGGTATCTGGCCAGCCATTCAAGATCAAGAATCCAGGTGGGGAGGGAAGAAAATAGTTGTATTGTTTAACATTTTGGGGTCAGTGTCTGTCTAGAAATGATGTTCCAGAGGACCGGAGAAGAGGATCCAGTATGTTGAAGTCAAGGCTCATCGTTTTAAATGTCTGCCATCTAGAGAGCTGCGTGGAGGTGAAGCCATCCACCTTATCGTCAGCCTGTGTCACCGCGTACCTGAGGCTTGAGGCTACCGGTTTCAAGTTTCTGGTACATACTCCGCTAGGCTGTACTGAGTATACTTTCAAATGGTAATGGGTGTTCTCAGAGGGCGTGATGATTGACTTAAAAAAATTTTTTTTTAAACGTTTACTTATTTTTGAGAGAGAAACAGAATGCGAGTGGGTTAGGGGCAGAGAGGGAGAGACAAAGAATCCGAAGCAGGCTCCAGGCGCCAAGCCATCAGCACAGAGCCCGATGCGGGGCTCGAACCCACGAGCCGTGAGATCATGATCCGAGCCGAAGTCGGACTCTCAACCCACTGAGCCACCCAGGCGCCCCATGATGATTAATTTTATGTGTCAGCTTAACTGGGCTGAGGGATGCCCAGATAGCAGGCAAACATTATTGCTGGACATATCTGTGAGGATGTTTCGGGGAGAGATTAGCTTTTGAGTTGGTGAAGGAGTAAAGATCGCCCTCACCAGTGCGCGTGGGGATCATCCAATCCATTGAGGGCTTGAACAGAACAAATACAGAGGAAGGGTGAAAGCTTTTTTCCCTTGAGCTGTGACATTTCATCTTCTTTCCTTGGACCTCGGACCTCCTGGTTCTCGGGCCTTCAGGCTTGGATTGGAACCGTACCACCAGCTTGCCTCCAGCTTGCGTGAGACAGAGGAGGGGACTCCTCAGCTTCTGTTATTGTGTGTGCCAGTTCCCATAATAAATCTCTTCATATGTGTCTATATGTATTCTACCTGTTCTGTTTTCCTAGAGAACCCTGACCGATAAAGATGGCATTGAGTTCATGAATTTCTTCCTAAAGCTGCTGGTCTCTTCCACACATTAGGACATCACTTCAGCCCTGGGCTATTACTTGTTCTTCTTGTGAGTTCTTCCTATAACTCTTTCTGGCATGGCCTCTCTAGAAACCCACTTTTCCTGATTTAAGTTTTTTTTAACGTTTATTCATTTTTGAGAGACAGAGCATGGGGGGGGGGGTGTGCAGAGAGCGAGGGAGGTGGACACAGAATCCGAAGCAGGCTCCAGGCTCCGAGCTGTCAGCACAGAGCCTGATGGGGAGCTCAAACTCACGAACCGTGAGACCATGACCTGAGCTGAAGTCAGACGCTTAATTGACTGAGCCATCCAGGTGCCCCTTTTTAAATTTTTTTAAAGTTTATTTCAAGAGAGAGAGAGACAGCGTGAGCAGGGGAGGGACAGGGAGAGAGAGAGAATCCCAAGGAGGCTCCACACGGCCAGTACAGAGCCCGACTCAGGTCTCGAACCGACAAACCACAAGATCACGAGCTGAGCATAAATCACGAGTCCAGACACTTAACCAACTGAGCCACCCAGCCCACCCCCACCATGATTTGATTTTTTTATCTGAAAATACAATTTTTCGGGGCACCTGGCTGGCTCAGTCGGTAGAGCATGCAACTTGACCTTGGGGTTGTAAGTTTGAGCCCCATGTTGGGTGTACGGATTACTTAAAATCTTGGAAATACAGTTATCTTTCGGCAGGCCCTTTTAAAAGAGATAATTGCCTAAGGACACGTGGGTGGCTCAGTCGGTTAAGCGTCCAAACTCCTGATACCAGCTCAGCTTGTGATCTCGCAGTCGTGAGGTTGGTGGAGTCTGCTCAGCTCGGAGCCTGCTTGAGATTCTCTCTCCCCCTCTCTGCCCCTCTCCTGCTTGCATGTGCGTGCTCTCTCTCTCTCAAGATAAATGAAAGTTGTTTTTTTTTTTTTAAAGATAACTGCCTAAAATTTCATTTTTGCTACTTTACCATCCTCCAAGGTGGCATTATAAGCCATCATTGTAGGAATTTTCCTACTTTCGTTAGCCACACTAGGCAGCTTATGGGGATGCTGTGGAATCTCTGTGTTCATCATCTGCCAGCAAATGGAACTTCCAATGCCTTCCTATCTACTTCGCAGGTGAGAACCTTCTTTTGCAGTCTTGGTCCCAGCATCAGGGTGGATGGCCGTATCTTGGAGACCCCCTGCTATTCCGGGTCATTTAGACTCCCTCATTTGGGCAGTCCTCCCTGCCTTCGGCTTCTCCTTTTACTGTTTTGGTCCACCAAGGTCTCAAGGATTCTATGTTTAAAAAAAAATTTTTTTTTAATGTTTTTATTTATTTTGGAGACAGAGACAAAGCATGAGCAGGGGAGGGGCGGAGAGAAAGGGAGACACAGAATCTGAAGCAGGCCCCAGGCTCAGAGCTGTCAGCACAGAGCCCAACGTGGGACTCGAACCCACAGACCGTGAGATTATGACCTGAGCTCAACCGACTGAGCCACGCAGGTGCCCCTCAAGGATTCTGTTTTAGCAAAGGTTGCACTTCCCATCCAAGTAGCTTTGGGAAAGATTGAAGTTCAATGACATTTAACAATAAGTGCTGTCGTACAGCTAGAATGTGGCAGAGTTGCAGTTAAATCCGTGTTTCCCACCCTTCTGATCTTTCCATGGTCATACAGCTGGGACTAGCTTCCAGCGTGGTGACTCTGTGATCCTCCTTTCCCGAGCACAGAGTTGAGATCTGCCCCTCACAGCTGAAAGGACTATCTTGCAACTGCCCGTGGGACGCTGGCATCCAGAGGTGAGTCTTTTGCCCAGCTCTTTTTAAATTTTAGCCAACTTTAATCGATTTAGCGGGTGCAACATGCTGTTTGGGGGCTTTCCTCATTCGTCAAGCCCTTAGACCAGTCGTGGCTCCCTCGGAGCCAGCTTTTAAATCCCTTCCCACCCTATTCCACCCTAGCAACAAAAACAGCTGCACGTACAGCTTGACCAGCAGCAAAAGTACAAACACTTCCTCCTCAGTTTTCCTTGCTATTTTTAGTTTTATTCCTACCCTGGGTTTTCTTTGGCTTTATGTAGCGGTCATCTGGGTCAGCTGACCCATGCCTCTGAAGTAGATGCCGCGTCTCTAATTAGAGACCACTCATTCCATCTGCCTCCCATTCTCTCTTCTCTCTCATGGCTGTGGCTCAAGTGTTGCTGGTGGTCACTGTTTTTCTTTCCATGGTGCCTCTCTGGTCTGTTGTGGAACTGAAGCCAATTAGGAAGACCAGGAAAGGGGAAGCCAAGTTTGTATGGAGGTCTGTGGGGAGGAGCAGTAGGCCGCGGAGAGTTGGTGGTTTATTCAGATTATCCAAAGATTCAGACCACTTTAATAATACGCTTTTCAGCTTTCTGACTTCACTTCTGTCAGCTGCCTATCACTATCGCAGTAGGTAGGTGTGGGGGGGGGGGGAATGGACCTGTTGCCCACAGTAGGTGAGGAACAGCCATCGGGAGGATGGGAGTAGGAACATAAAATGTCTGACCAGGAAGGAGGTTTACCTCCAGGACCCCACCGTTCTCATGAGGAAACCAAGGTCCCAGAGATAAGAAGATCATTGTTTAGCTTCCATGCCCATTTCCTAGCGAGTCTTGTCCAGCCTAACTAGGACCAAAGGAGAAGGAAACACACATGTGAGTGCCTGGGTGGCAGGGTGGGTTTCGAGCCATTTCGAGAGGCAGAGACTGCAGCCGGAGCCCGCGTCTCTCGTGCGACCTGAGCCAGAGAAGAACATTCTGGAACAGGAGAACCCCTGAAAATTGAATTTACTACTGCTACAGATAGCTGTCATTCCCTGTAAGGGCTGTGGGTACCCACCTTTCTAAACACCACGTGTTTTATTTCACTGGAGCCTCAGAACAAGCCTATGAGGAAGTCACATTGCTATCTCTACTTCACAAGTGAGGACATTAAAGCAGAAGTTCATTGCTTTCCTAACACTCTGCTATCTGCCTCCTAACCAAGAATATAGTTCAAAAGAGAAAAAGTGATCTACCGGAAGATGTTCAGCACATGCTTACTTATCACAAAAAGTTGAATGTAACTTAACCATCTGACGGTTGAAGAGTGATTAACTCCACAGAGTGCAAATCGGCGGAACACAATTCGAACTCTTAAAATGATCGTTGTAATAAATCCGTCGCGGGGCAGAAAGTTGTTTGTGACATGTGTGGAAAACGGTGCAAGGGCATGTACCTCCGCTGTGGTTTACATGGCCACGACTAGAAGAAAACTTGAGAGAATAAAAAGCTCATGTATTAAAATGGGACGTGTGACGTTCTTTGGATTTTTTTTTTTTAATCGTCACCCTACCGCTTGTGTGGCTAATTTAAAAATTGTCTCCTGGGGCGCCTGGGTGGCGCAGTCGGTTAAGCGTCCGACTTCAGCCAGGTCACGATCTCGCGGTCCGTGAGTTCGAGCCCCGCGTCGGGCTCTGGGCTGATGGCTCAGAGCCTGGAGCCTGTTTCCGATTCTGTGTCTCCCTCTCTGTCTGCCCCTCCCCCGTTCATGCTCTGTCTCTCTCTGTCCCAAAATAAATAAACGTTGAAAAAAAAAAATTAAAAAAAAAAAATTGTCTCCTTAACTCTTAAAAACGGAGAACAAACTGAGGGTTGATGGGGGGTGGGAGGGAGGGGAGGGGAGGTGATGGGTATTGAAGAGGGCATCTTTTGGGATGAGCACTGGGTGTTGTATGGAAACCAATTTGACAATAAATTTCATATATTAAAAAAAAAAAAATGGTCTCCTTAGTCTTTGTAATTCTACAATCAGTAGTCTGTGGCCTAGCAAAGGTTTCTGGTCACTTTATGTTCTCTCCACCCCCAGCTATCTAAGTTTTCATATTTGTTGTTTTTCCTGTTCTGTTTTGTATGCCTGTGATAGAAGGTAGGTGAGAAACAATAGAAGTAATAGCAGTAAGTGGGAGTGTTCAGACAGAATAATAATAAAGCTTTATCTTGAAAGTTGGCCAAGTAATGTATTACCTCATTCTGGTAAATATTTTATATGCAAACAAATATGCAAAACCCATTCTTTGTAGCTTACCAGCTCATAGTGGTATCGTTTTTCACAGTTGATAGACTGGGCAGGAGGGTGACCTGTCGTAAATCCTGCAGTCAAGGATATAGAGGGAGCTGTGCCCTCCTTCCCTCCCTTCCTTCTGTTCACCTTCAAGCCACCTTCGCCCCGCTGTGGAGTCTAGCCCGTCCTTTTGTGAGCAGACTCTCTTCATAGCTGTTAACAGAGAAATGGCCACACACCCATTCACTGCCCGTTCACATGCCTGTTCACGGGCCATGCCCGTTCACTGCGGCATTATTCACAGTTGCCAAGAGTTGGAAGCAAACTGAATGTCCATGGACAAATGAATAAAGAAAATGGGGTATATGTACAATGGAGTATTATTCAGCCATTTAAAGAGGAGGAATCCTGTCCTACGCTACAACATGGATCAACCTTGAGGACATTATGCCGAAGGAAAGAAGCCGGGACAAAAACTGTGTGATTCCACTGTGATCTAAAGGAGTCAGACTCAGAAACAGAAAGTAGAACGTGGTTACCAGGTGCCGGGAGAAGGGGGAAGTTCAGTGGGTATAGAGTTTCAGTTGTGCAAGATGAAGAAGTTCTAGAGATCTGAGCACGGCAGTATGCATGTAGTCAACACTACTCTAAAAAATTGTTAAGATGGTATGTTTTATGTTATGTGTGCTTTTTTGGTGGTTGTGGTTGCCACATTAACGAAGAAAAGAAATGGCCGCTTCTACAGAAGCAAACCACCACTTGAACACTGTCCTTTTAACCCTTACCACCTAGGTTTGGGCCACATTGCCCATCATCCCGTTTCTTTCTATTGACATGCCTTTTACATCTTTGCCCTGAGACCTTCCGGCTGTGCCGTGGTCTTGGTCTTCCATTTAAGTTACTCCTCTAATAAGGGAAGAAAGTGGACGTGATAGATTCTTTTGTAGATTCGAGGAAATTGTGTGTCAAGTGAAAAGCGACTTAGCAGATGTTAAGTGACTAGAAGATCCCCCCTCCTTAACCATCATGCCGCGTCCCGGAAGAGCTGAGGTCTGAGCTGAGGTCCCCGTAGCCTCCTTGCGAATCAAGATCAGATGCGTGGCCTCGGTGCTGAGCGGTGGTGCAGCAGTACCTGCCAGGAGCCGCTAGATGGCCCCCATGCTCCGCATCTGACTTCCTTGCAGGCTTTCTGAATTCTAGCAGGAACAGAGAGAGACCAGACAAACCTTGCCTCCCCGCTTTGTATGAACGACTAACAGATCGCCAGTGGCAGACATTACTGCTCTTATTTTCTCAAGTGGCTTATTTTCATTTTCAGCATCAGTCTCCCATTGTCCTTGCTTTGCTACCGGTCTTCTCTCTTAACCAAACTGATGTTCCTTACAGGCTGAAGCTGCCTTGTTTCTACCACAGGCTTGTACTAGGATGGAAAAAGAAATGGACTGAAAACACGAGATAGTGAGTAGGGAGAGAGAGAAATAGAATGGATGTTTATTGAGGAGCCACAGAAGGAAAAAACAAAACAAAACAAAAACAAAAACTTAGGGTTAGGACCCTGTGCCCGGGATTAGAGGCGAGAGAGAGGAGCACGGTTGAGAAGCAGATTGGAATAGGAATTCAGCTGTAAGAGGAAACCCAGGGGACGATCAGCCACTGGCAGGGACATCAGCACACATGCGGTAGCCCTCCTGAGGGGTCATCTCCTGCCAGTCTCAGCACCAGCACTCGGAGCTGGGTCACCTCGGGGTCAACCCACAAAGCTAGGCAAGCCACTAGTGACGCTTTGAAGACATGCTCATAGGGGCATGGGCCAGAATGGTGTCTCATCATGACCGCAGTGTGGCCCGGACCTAGCAGATGACCCTTTTCTTGTGAGGATTCCAAAGCCTGTGACTAATGGTAATTAATCATGACTCACAGTAACACTGAGCACAAAGAGGTCATTGTCTCCACTGAGTCCAGTGGGGGAAACTGAGGTATGGAGTGGGGAAGCAGCTTTGCTCCATTAGTCAGGGGCACCAGGCCTCGAGTTTATCACTGCCCTGCTGAAATGCCCTCGAGGCTGTCCTTGATAATCAGGAGTAAACACTTCCCGTGGGCTGTTCAGAGGAGAAGAGCAGGACCTTTCCCCAGTGCTGTTCCATGTGGACCAGAGCCATAGAACTAGCAACTCCCATTGGAAAGACCCTTTGGCTCGATAACCCCTCCACTACCTCTGCTTCTACAGGGAGGAGTCTGGAGGCCAGGATGACAGCTAAGATCACACCATGGGTGTTGTGAGTGGGTCAGGCCTTGCATCCTGAGATGCTGTGTGCTGCTCCTTGTACACCCTGATGACAGCAGGAGAGAGGCAGGATTGTGCGAGTTACAAGCATGGGCTCGGGCTCGGTAGCCTGGGTTCAGATTCTGGATTCGTTGCTTACCACCTGTGTGCATCCGAGCCAGCTCCTCTGTGCCCCAGTTTCTCCATCTATAAAATGAGGCTAGTGCAAGTAGCTAGATCGTCGGGATGTTTTGAGAAGCGAAGTAGATAAATGTAAAAAAAAAAAAAAAATGATAACAACAAAAACGTGTAGCAGGGGCACCTGGGTGGCTCCGTCAGTTGAGCGTCTGCCTTCGTCTCAGGTCGTGATCTCACGGGCTGTGAGTTCGAGCCCCGCATCGGGCTCTAGGCTGACAGCTCAGAGCCTGGAGCCTGCTTCGGATTCTGTGTCTCCCCCTCTCTGTGCCCCTCTCCCCTTCAGGCTCTCTCTCTGTCTCTGAAAAATGGATACACCTTTAAAAAATGTTTAAAAATACATAGCTAATTTTTTGTAGTATTATTTAAACAAGGCGGGTATGAGAATACTTAGCTCTACACCTGGCCACTCAGCTCCCCTACTGGGTCCAGCCCACTTGTCTCGCTGGCCATTTCTCCAGTTTGCCTGGCCTTCTGGGTCCCCTGAGAGAAGGGAGCAGTGAAAGAATAGACGTTGGGCTCAGGAGAAAGAGACATCCCGGAATTTCTTCCCCTTTCTCTTACTCCGAGGTAGGCTCTTTTAGCCCAGCAGCCTTCGTGACATCATCAGACAATGCAGGTGCTGCTGGCTCAGCTCCCAGCCCAGCTCTAGAAGCATCAGAAGGCATCTTGGGCAACAAGACACAGACCAAGATAACCACATTCCTGCCCATCTCCTCAGGCCTTGGCTCCGGGCCCCGCAAGCCCACCCTCTGAATGAGGTGGGATAATGACGACAAGAAAGCTAATTACAGGGGCGCCTGGGTGGTGCAGTCGGTTAAGCGTCCGACTTCAGCCAGGTCACGATCTCGCGGTCTGTGAGTTCGAGCCCCGCGTCGGGCTCTTGGCTGATGGCTCGGAGCCTGGAGCCTGTTTCCGATTCTGTGTCTCCCTCTCTCTCTGTCCCTCCCCCGTTCATGCTCTGTCTCTCTCTGTCCCAAAAATAAATAAACGTTGGAAAAAAAAAAAAAGAAAAGAAAAGAAAAAAAAAAAAAAAAAAGAAAGCTAATTACAGTCGTCACCCGGCTGGGTTGAGAATACTGGCTTGTTTGTCTAGCACAACTTAACCTGAGTCATCCAGCCCGTAGCCTATAGCCACCTGGGCCTGGACCTGGGCCGGCAGGCTGCCCGGAGTCTGGAACACCTTCTGCACGCTCAGCCTGGCGAGTGCCAGCGCTTCCTGCCTGTTCTCCCCTCCCGAAAGCAAGCGGAGACCGTTTAGCTCCGGAGACACAGCTCCAGACTGAGCAAAGAGCCCGGCCAGGGCTCATTCTGGGGTGAGCAGAACCAGAGCGGGGGCCTCACAGCCAGCCTTCGGAAGGTCACCTCCATGGATCAGAGATGAAACCGGGCGTTAGAGAACGGCCAGGGCACCAGCTGCCTCGCCGCTTCCATACCACCCGCCAGCCTCACCGTTGAGCTGCTCCCTGTCCCCCATTCAGGGGTCCTCACGACGCTGCACAGGCCAACCCTGCAGGCCAGCAGCGATCTAGGTTCAACTCCCACTAGTTCCACCCAGGGTTTTTCCCAGTGCGGAGACTGATGCGGGGCTCGGTCCCACAGCCCTGAGATCATGACCTGCACCAACATCGAGGGCCGGACCCTCAGCCAACTGAGCCACCCAGGCACCCCTCGCAAAAACATTTTAAAATTAGACCTAGAAAGTACTCTCACAGAAAGTATAAACGAAATAAGAATGAGAATCCCCTACTCCCTTTCTGACTCACTGAGTAAGGGAAACTAGAAGGATGT